GAGCCCCCGGGGCTCACTGCCCAGTGGCATCTGCATGCCTGAAGGAAGAAAGCCTAAGAGCGACAGTGTAGACAGTCATCAAGCCCAGGCGTCGGAGGCGGGTGGCATCTCAGGACGGGCGGGCGTGGGGACCCCGCGGCAGACCCTGCGAGCGCTGACTCCCAGGACAAGGTGTTGGTTGTCACGGGCTCGCAGCAGCATCGCCCAGAAGATGAAATCTTGACAATTCGTTGCGGTCGGCACTCATGCCATTCACGTATTTTGGATTAAGAATGATAGTGAATGAGGGGCGCCTGGGTGGCTTAGTCGGTTAAGCGTCCGACTTTCGCTTGGGTCATGATCTCGCGGTTCGTGGGTTCGGGCCCCGCGTCGGGCTCTGTGCTGACTGCCGGCTCAGAGCCTGGAGCCTGTTTCAGTCTGTGACTCCCTCTCTCTCTGACCCTCCCCTGCTCACGCTGTCTCTCTCTCTCTCTCCTAGAAATAAATAAAAATATTAAAAAAAAAAAAAAAAAAAGAATGATAGTGAATGGGACCTATTCCATTTTTGGATGCCTGGGTACTGACCAAGTTAGACTTGACTCTCAGGAGTCACGTGGAGACAGTGTCACGGGCTCCTCCCAGGCGTGGGGACATCAGACACTGAGTCATCACCACGTTTGCAGAGAAGGGGATGGCAGAGCCTGGCCGGGTGAAGGGACCTCCGTCGCCTTCGAACCCAGGACCGCCACAGCACCCCCCTCGCGGACTGCCCGCTCTGAGTGCACAGGTGTTTTCTCTGCATGTGCCCAAACTTTGTACCCTCCCTTTATCCTGCTCCGTGGCCGAAATAGCAGCTTAGGGACATATACTTTTTCACTTTTACTGAGCACCTATTATGTACGAGGGACCGTGCTATGCCCTGGGAGCTACAAGAGGATCAGTACTAGATGTCACAGCAGGCAGACGGACATCCTGACCAGCGCATCTCAAACCTGCCGTACCTCGGAGCTTTTAGAAAACACTGATGCTGGGACCCCAGTCCAGACCGATGGAATCGACGTATCCGGACTGGGGGGAGGGGTCCCAGGGAATCTCCGTTAGAAAAAATCTCCCCAGGTGATTTTAGTCGACAACCAGGCCTTTGGGACAAATAACTAAGTTATGCAGACTTGGTCCCATTTAAAGTACCGAGGGAGTAACTAGTAACAGAGGGAGCCGAGCAAGGCGTCGGGGACGAGGCGTGACTACACAGGACAAGCAAGTTTGTGGGACAAAGCGGGGTTGCCGCGGAGGATTCCAGACAACGGGGTGAGGGAGGCCGGCGGGAGCCCAGGGCCAGTCCGCGGGAGGGCGGCGCCCACACAGTGCCGGCCTGCAGGGACAGTGGCGGAGAGAGGGGTGCAGAATGTTCCAACAGCTCGGGGCGAGGCCGCTCACCGAGGAGGCCGAGCCCCCGGTGCGCGGCGCCTGCTCTCCTTCCCACACAGAAACACGAAGCATTAATAGCTCGTGATTCCTGGTCCTGTTTCCAGCAGTCAGTTTTGCCTTCAGCTTTGTCCTTTGAGAAAACGGTAATGCTTCAGAACCATCTTTACTGGAAGGTTCCACTTTTTTGCCCCTTCTCCTTATTCTTATTCCCCCAAAGTCTTTTTCTCTAGAAGTCAATGAATCCACGATCCCTGGCTCCTTCCCAGGCACCTCCAAGGCGGAGGGAGGGGCGGAGAGCAGGTGCGCAGGCGGGTGAGCGTCCGGAGGCGCCCGCAGTGTGACTTACGTCCTGGGGTTTGCCTCCTGCTTCGTCCCCGCTCTCACCGCACAGCCCTCCGCCGTGGTGGGGCAGCCACGCTGCGGGGGCCCGAGGCCCTGACGCCGAGCAAGGTCACTCCATCCCCGTGACACTCGCCAGTCAGCGGTCAGGGACCTGCACTAAACCCAGGCCTATGCTGACCGTCTAACGGCCCTCCCGTCCAGGATGCACACAGGACTCAGCCCCCCCAGCCAGAGTCCAAGCCCCCCCCACCCCCCGCCCCGCGTGAACCAAGAAACACATATTCCCGCCGCCATTTCACTCGGGACCGACCGTGAACCTGGCAGCACTTCCCACGACCCTCTAAGTCGGTCTGTGCACATGATTTCCAAGATGACCACACACGGTCTGTCCTCTCTTGCCGCCGGGCCCTCCTCCCACGGAGATGTGAAGCCTAGTCTACCCTTCTCCTTGTGTCCGGGCTGGCTTTGGAAGCTACTTTCCCTGAGAACGTGGCAGAAGTAGTGGCTGAGCCCAGGCTTTCCGAGGCGTCCACATTGGCCCTCTCGGGCCCCAGCTGCTGCGTAAGGAAGCAGAAGCCAGACCACTGATGAGAAACCGTATGGAGCAACAGAGGTCGGCCCGCTCCCAGCTTTTCATCCCCCAGGCCGAGACGCTGGACGTGACTGAAGTCTCTGAACCTTCTAGAACCTTCCAGGCCCAGCAGAGGCCCCAGGGAACGCAGGTGGGTGAACAGTCTCCTTCAGCACCAGGCAGAGCCGAGAAGCTGTTCCGCCAAACCACGGAGTCCTGAGAAATTAGCACTTGTTGAAGCTCAGGAGCTTGGAGAGGTTTGTCATACACGGGAACTTGACTGATTCACAGGGTGACTTGGGTTTTGTTACTTTTATAGAGTCTGAACCCATCTGTTTCCACAGGTTTTTTTTTTTAATGTTTTATTTATTTCTGAGAGAAAGAGACAGTGTGAGCAGGGGAGGGGCAGAGAGAGAGGGAGACACAGAGTTGGAAACAGGCGCCAGGCTCTGAGCTCTCAGCACAGAGCCCGATGCGGGGCTCGAACCCACGAATCGTGAGATCATGACCTGAGCCGAAGTCGGACGCTCAACCGACAGCCCCCCAGGTGCCTCTGTTTCCACAGGTTTTAAACTAAGATGCTCACAGCTACAGCAGAATTGATTAACGGCCCAACCGTGCCATCAGGACCAGGCTTCCTATCTTCCATCTTCCCGGCTGCCGTCCCCAAGGGCAGGATGTTCCTCAAGCGACCTCCTGTCCCGAACACAGGCCCGGCCAGAAGGGAGAGGACTTCCTCTTTATGTGCCTTTTTAAGGGCAGCTGTTCGCCCACAGCAGGATGCGTTGGCGTAGACGTGTTGTGAAGCAGTCACGGGGAGGGATGGCTTGTAGGGACCGGGGCTTCCCCTCGGCGTGCGGGGGGCAGGTCCTTGGACCAGGGTGGGCTCCCACCGGCGAGGACAGAGGGCACGTGCCGACTAAACAGACACTCCTGAGAGAGGACAGCCGTCACCAGCAGCCCCGCGTGACCCTGCCTGTGCCCGCACACCCTCCATGCAGATGCCACCGTTTGCAAGGCGGGAGGCTAGTCAGAACCTGGCTCAGGCATCAGGGCCCTGGCAGGAAGCAGGGGCCCGGGGAGACTTGGGAGCGAGTGTGAGGGAGGGACGTTTGCCGCCGCCCCGTCAGGCTCTGTGACCCAGCCGGGGGTGCTGGCGCCCAGGGACGGCCCCGCAGCCCAGGGAGGCAGGGGAGTGGTCCTTGGAGGCTGACACAGTGGCCACAACGGAACAGGAAGGACTATGAGCCGTGTCCCCACAGAGGGACCCAGACACGGCCCAGGTGGAGGCAGGGGGGAGGGGCGCGGGGGGAGGGCGCTCGGCCCCTGGTCGCGGGCCGCGGGCTGTCCTGCTGGTGAAGGGCCAGTGGGGGCGCAGAGCAGGGCAGAGGGGCAGAGGGCGGGTGTGCCCGGAATGTGGAGAATCCACGTGTTCGTTGCCCAAAACCTGGAGTGTTTTTCTGAAGGAAAGTAGCTCAGAACCCGGTAGCTTCGCCACACGAAGCTGTTCTCACCTCTGCCGGCGGCACCTCATCCAGCAAGTGCACAGCCCGGCGTCTCTGTCCCCCACCACCAGCGGGGGGGGGGGGGGCCGTTCACACCCCGCCCGCCTGCCCGGGCAGGGTGCTGCCCCTTTGGCTGCTGCCCCCCAGGGGTCACAAGCGGTGACCGAGGGGCAGCGGGAAAAGACGAAGTGAGGGACAGGACTGAACGCCAGGCTGACTGGGGCCGCAGAAGGGACACAAACCTTCCCTGGTGTCGGGTCGACAGGGCGGTTCTGTCTGGTTCCGAGCCAGCAGGCACCAGGCGCTGAGCACGGGGACCCGGAGGCTGCTTCCCTGCGGCCAGGCTTGGCCTCCCCTTGCCCTGCCTCCTGGACGGGACGGGGAGGGCGGCACACCGGGGCTCGGGAACGTCGCCCCCGCCCCGCCGCCGCCGGATCACCGGGGCTTCCCGGCGGTGACCCTGGAGACCCAAGGCCCAGGAGGCCAGGGCTAGGGAGGGACGGGGTTTCGAGGGGAAGGGTCCCAGGAGGCGGGCCCTGTGCTCACCCAGACACAGCACAAAAGGTGAGCGAAGCTGGGCAGCCACCTGCGGCACGACTGGGCCCCGTGTCACCTGCGGAGCAGGAGCGGCCCTGCGTGGGGACGGGCCCAGCACCAGGGCGCGACCCAGACGCGGCTGGCGGGCTTCCCGCCCTCCCGGGTCCCGCGCCCGCCGTCGGGCCCTCGGGAGGGAGACAGAAGTTTCGACCCGGGGCGGGGGGGCCGCCGGCGAGGCTCCCGCGGGGCGCACGATCCCCGCGCCCCGGCCGGAGGGCGGGCCCCAGGAGGCGGAAGCCACAGGGAGTCGTCGCCGCCCGCCGGCCTCCGGCCCCCGCCCGGCACCCTCGGGCCACCAGCGCCCCCAGGGGTCGGGTCGGGGACGGGCACGCGGAGGGCGGGCCCGGGCGCGCGCGCGCGCGGGGGCGCCGGGCGGGGGCCGCGGGGCGCATGCTCACTGGCGCTCGTGACGCGCGCGCCGGGCCGGGCGGCCGGAGGCAGGGCCGAGAGGGGCGGCGGGCGGGGGCCGGGGGCGGGCGGGGCGGAGCCGGGAGCGGAGCGGCGCCGAGCGGGGAGGGGAGGAGCCGAGCGGCGCCGAGCCGAGCAGAGCAGCGGCGAGCGCCCGAGCGGAGCGCACGGTCCGCAGCCCCCGCCGCCGCCCCGGACCCCGCGCCGCCACCCCGGGCCGGGCCGGGCATGAACGCGGAGGGGCCGCGGCCGCCCCCAGCTCCGCGCGGCGCGCCCAGGCCGTGACCGGGTCGGGGGCGCGCGGCCGCACTCGGGCCCGGGCCCATGGGCGCGCCGAGCCGGGCGCGGGGGCGCTGAGCGCGGGCGGGCGCGGCCGGAGGAGCCATGGACTGCAGCCTGGTGCGGACGCTCGTGCACAGATACGTGAGTGCCGCCCGCCGCGGGGGTGCGCGGGGTGCGGGCCCTGGGGACCCAGCTGCGGCCGGGGGAGGGGGCGAGCCCTGGGGACCCCGCTGCGGCCGGAGGAGGGGGCGAGCCCTGGGGACCCCGCTGCGGCCGGGGGAGGGGGCGAGCCCTGGGGACCCCGCTGCGGCCGGGGGTGGCGAGCCCTGGGGACCCCGCTGCGGCCGGGGGTGGCTCGCCGAGGGTGCACCTGCCCCGCCCCGCCGCGCGCTCCCCGGCGTCCCGAGGGGACGGGGCCGCCCCGCGGAGACCTTCGTGGGTTTGCACGCGGCCCGGGGCTGGGGAGGGACGTTCAGCTCTGCCTGTCGCGCCCGCACGGGGACCCAGAGACGGGAGAGTCACACTCCAGAAAAGGCAGGGACTTTGGTTCGTGTTTGTAACACCACCGGGGGATCCAGAAGTGAAGTTTGGCATCTTCTTTTTTTTCCCATGGAAGTAACCAATCAGATCAGCGGCCGGGTGTTGTGGGCTTCCCTCCGGCGTCCACACTCGCTGGTGACGGGGGGGTCGGGGTCGGGGGAGGCTGGGAGGCGAGGGGAGGGCAGGTTCTGTTTTACAGGAGGAGGGGACGGCGGCTCTGGTCCCTGGCACCGGTATGAAAGGGGGTGTGTGTGCACAAGAGAAAGAAAACTGTCCGAGGGTGGTGTTTCCTGCCACTGTCTTCACAAAAGGCTCCTTGTTCCCCAGCGGCCGCCGCGCTCGGGCACAGGTTTGAGGAGTCGGTCTCGCTGAGGATTGAGGGCATCATTATGGGCACTCTGGGTTTTTTCCGGTGTAGGAATTGCCTCGGGCAGACTTTGATCTTTACGAGCTCTCTTTGAGAAGGACACCTTGGGCGAGATTAGTGTCTCTTCGTCTCCCCGACGGCCAGATGGCTAACCCTGAGTTGATTCAGTAACCAGGAGACTCGAGTCCAGGGAACTGTGTGCCCCTTAGTCAGGAACTTGCCCCCTGGGGCAGGTCGGGCGGCCTTATGTTAGAGCCCAGAGTCCCTCGGACTCTGGGAAGGGCGGGCCCAGGCTTGGGATCTGGAAGCTCATGTGATTTCCCCCAAAGTCCCTATTCTGATGTGAGTGGTAAATATCAGGTGACACCTTCATTCTTCCGCTGGGATAAGTTCTAAAAGCCCCAGTCACAGCGACTGGAGGCGAGCAGGTATGTAAGGGCAATGCGTTACCGGGCAAGGACGTTCTGTGTCATCTGGGGGGGCGTGGGTCCCATCCGCAAGGTCTCTTCCTGCCTCACTTTGCTCAGAGGGAGAAGGAGAAAAGGGTGGACTAGTATTCGTCTGAAAAGTGCCCACAGTGTTTCAGTTAATTTTCATTCGCTTTCAGCTCTAACACTTTGTGATAAAAGTAATATAAACAAGGATTTCGCTGGCTGGGGGACATGCCGCCTGCCTGGGGAGACGCAGGGCGTGTGGGCATCGCCCCTCTGAGCCCGAGGCTGGAGGCTCTGAGGCCAGATCTGCCCCCCCCCTCACTTCCTAACCCTTCGCCCCCGGGAGTGGGGTAGACATTTGTCCAGTGTTAATTCTGCCCTTTTATCCGGGCCCTATCAATTCTATAAATTTACGTGCAGTTTGCATATTAAAATTCCCTTTTGCCGTGTTCCCAGGCTTATGACGTGACATTTCCCTCAAACCTAAGCCGCAACTTCCTCAGTGGACTTTCCCAGCCTGTGCATTATCTGGTGACGTCCCTGGAACGAAGTTAGGAGTTACTATTATTTCTATTTCTCAACTCCACATCTTTTTTCTTCCTTTCAGTCTGATCCTTTGACTACTTCACCATATTCACGTATAAAACCATTCATTTCTATATTGAAGTCATCTTGATGCTATTAAACTAATTTGAGTTTTTCCAGAAACAGTCAGGATCTGTTTTCTTGGTGACCTTTCAATACGTAGAACTAAATTATGTTTTATTTTGCTGGAGGAAGAGAAAGAGCCTGGGATTGAATGCTCATGCTTCAGTGGTTTCCTTAAGTGACTTATTTTATAAGAATGAATCAAAGCTTCTATATGCCCTGTTCTCTTCCCGCGTCCACATGGTCAGAGTTTCTAGGACAGAGAAAACTTTTAAGCTCCTTCTGAGGTGTGAGGGTTGCCAAAAGGTAATGAAGTCCTTGGAAAACATTGCTGCCCACACTTCGTTCTGGCCCATTCCAGAGCGAGAGGGAGAGCAGGCAACTGACTGGGAGAAGCCCGTCCCGGGTTAGGCCACACACACTCCAGAGCACGAATTACCGGTTGTGTGGACGGACATAAGTCGTGCCCAGCCTATTTGTGTTTACACACAGCACGGGGTTTACATACCATGCAGTGTGCGTGCATCAGGAGGTGGTTTGGCCTATTTACATTTTATTCACTTAACAAAATGGATGGAGAGCTCGTGTTTCCTCTTCAGGCCCATGAGCTGAGAAGCCCGGGTTATGGCCGGGGTTTCCATCCTGGGGCAGCCAGCCTAGCCCGGAGGGCCACACCGCAGGCTCTGCGGCCGCCTGCTGCGCATGAACCCGGCCGGCCCGTTGTGTTGAGCGCTGTGACCTTGAGAAGGGTGTGGGCGCCTGATCGGGGGCTGTCGTCAGGACCGCGTGGGCGATACGGGCAGGAGCTAAGAGCCTGGCTCTTGGGAAACGCGCAGGACATTTATCACTCCTGCTGTTAACACCGTTCAGTCCTGGCTGGGTTAGTGCGGCGGGAGCAGGCCGCCTGTCAGCGCTGTCGGCGGGGCCCCGGGCTACGCGAGGTCACGGCCGCCCGTCCTAAGCAGTGCGCGGGGCTCAGCCGCCAAGACGCTACAGGCCACACGCAGAGTCCACGGGCCACATCTGGTGGTGAAGTCGATCACAGGTGAGCATCCCAGGCCAGGAAGCGCTCATGGCCACGCCGCCGCATCTCCTTCCTTTCCGTGCTTCACATTTGGGAGATCTGACTTTAACGTTCTGAAGGTCAGGGGCTTAATATTGTTACGTCTGGTGACGTTCCCGGCCCCACAGCCGGCGGTGTTCAGAGTTCTCTTGTGCTGCCTTGTGTTTTACACGTTTTGCTTCCTAGGATCTTGCGTACATTTTAAGAGAGTGAGCTTCTGAAAGAGGTGAAGGTTTTCCTTGCTGATGGTAGAGCCTGTTTCTGGAACAACCTTAGGACTTTCTTTACAAGGGAAAAGTAAATCTTTTTGGTCCCTGGAGAACTTCAAGCATGGCCGTGTTCGAGTGCATGAAACCAGCTGAAGGTCCAGCCATTTTACGTGCGCACATGTGTCTCCTCTTCCTTTTTATCACCAAGTGCTCTGTGGCACAGGCTCAGCGTCCACCCGAGGGGCGGCCTGTGCTACAACCGCATTCTTTTGACGCGGTGATTCCCGTCTCTGTTGCTAACACTTAAAATGCTGTGGGATTTCGGCGATGCCTCTCCTGATCTAGCGTTAGATTTGAGAGAGATGAACCCGCCTTCATCCACGGCCACGGCCAAGCCACCTGTGTCCCATGTCCTGTGGGCCGGGGCTGCCCACCTCGGCCTGGCCTCCTGAGTTCACACAAGCTTGCCCAGCCCTGCCCCTGCCCCAGGGGTCGCTGCGTCTCAGCTGCACGTTTTAAAGCCATCTGCCTGGTCTGTAACTTAACCTCTCTGTTCCAGCTTCCAGCTAAAGTTTCCGCATTGTTCTCTCAAACCCTGTTTAACCTCTGCACCTTGGGAGCTGGTGATCTCGAGCCGCTTTTATTCCGTGCCACGGGCCCGATTCCGTAACGCTGCGGGAAAGGAGCGTGTTTTACAGGTTTTGCTACAGGCCGTTAAGTTTCCAGGGGTGGCTCCGATTACACTCGGTTAGAGCTGCACAAACCACTGATAAACATACCTCACTGCTTAACTGCACAGGAAGTTCTGTGTTTACAAACCTAAACACAAATTGTTCCCTGTGCTCGGACCATATGTTCCCACAGAAACGGTTGATAAAACGTGGTTGGATCCCCGAGTCCCAGACTTATAATTGCTTTTCTAACCAAGTCAAACGTAGGCAGAAATGCTATTTATTTGCAGAGAAAATCAAAGGAAGGCGATGCGTACAGCGTGAGCAGCTCCGCAGGACTGAGCAGGGATGGTCTCTGCTCTGGACGCTGGCACCTGTGAGAAACAGATAGTAGATCACAGAGGCCACAGGTCGCACCCCGCCTCCGCCTTGTGAGCCTGGGCCGCCCGCTCACAGCCCCTCTCTGGAGATGGAGGTGATGAGGGAGGGTCCCTGCTGGGAACGGGGATCTCCCCCGCTTCAGGCCCACCCCTCACGTGGAGCGCAGAGACCTAGCCCCGAGCTTCATGGAGGGAAGGCAGTCACCAGACAAAATGCCCCCTCTCCCAGGCAGCCCACCAGCCTTGCCCAGTCTGCTCTTGCCTCCTTCTGGATTGGGGCCCAGTGTCTCTCTCTCTCTCTTCTGGTCATCTGTGACCCCCTTGAGTCTGTGGCAGTGGCCAACCCATCAGATCACCCCTATTTCAACCACAGTCTTTCCCGGCCCCACATGCCCCTTCTGTCCCCGACCTCTCATTTCCTTCACGGCTGAACTTCAGCTATTGTGCTCCTGTGTCCTGCCCTCCTCCAGCCCCTCACACCCCAGTGGTCTCCCCACCTCACGCTGGAGGCCTCAGGTCCACCCGCGAGGCCCTCGGCGTCCTCAGGCCCTCCCAGCTCACGCTGGGGTGCGCCCTGCGTGCATACTGACTTCTGAGCCTTGCTCAGCCAAGCGCTGTCCCTGGGGCGCTTACCTTCAGATGAGGGGAGGCCGACAGAGAGCAAAACACAGGTAGAAACCTTAGGGCGGGCCCGGGGCAGTGAGCCGTGTCCCAGGCCACACCGCGGCGCTCGGCGTTCTGCCTGCCAGGCTCTTCTGGGGTCACCCGGACTCCGTGCTGGCACCCACCGTCCTCCATCCGCTCCCCTGGCTGGCCCTTCTGGGGTCAC